CTGCCCAGAACAACAACAACATGATGGCGGCTAAAATGCTTTCATACACAACATGCAGCTGCACTGGGACCATGTGCAGGTGAAGGTGCTCTGAGCACAGAGTCAGTAATCCAGCCCTGATGTCAGGAAGGCCTACGTGACTCTCCACATCCTGTGAGGACAGAGCAGACTACGGTTCGTTGTTAACTGATAACTATTTTTAAAGCAGAGATAAGTCCTGGGCCTTCGTGGAATCGTACGAGCTGCAGTTTGCACACGCTCAGTGCACGCCACCTCACCGAACCTGCAGGGTTGTCACTGCGTCAGTAAAGCCAGAATGAGCAGAAATATGTGGACGCCACACTGGCCGCCTGCTCAGAGTCATGGCGAAATTGCAGCAGTTCCTTTTAAAATGTTCACTCTGCAGTGTGCTCGACTTTGATCTGAACTCCACTGTGATGCAGCAGAACACACACACACACACACACACACACACACACACACACACACACACACACACACACACGTGTAAACCCAGCAGCAGCTGAAAGCAAAGTTTGAGAAGTTTTACCTCCATCCTGCTCGTCGTCTCTCAGCCGCCTCGCTTGTGTCGAGTATGTGTGAAAGAGAGAGAGAGCCAGCCTGCAGGTTAAATATAGAAGCAGAGTCATTTCAGAGCGAGAGAGCGAGAGAGAGAGAGCTCATGTTCTGTCACATGGTCATCACCTCGCTCTGTTTCTGATCGTCCTGCAGCTTCATGCCCATCAATTAAACCTGGTTTAATTCAGCTCATGCTCATTAACCTGACGTCTCTGAGCTCGGTCTGCACGATCGTCACATTTAAACCCGTGAAACCGCTGAGCGCTCAGAAGTGGAAGGAAGACTTTTGCTCGCAAACACTGTTCTCAGTTAGAGTCATTTTGTTTACAAATGAAGAACTTAAATCTTTCACAACAGAGTCGCTACGAAACACGGTTATCTGATCACATCAGCTCCGACTGCTTCCTGCACCCACTGTGTTCCAATTATTTCCTCTGTGAACATTACACAGCTGCAGCTTGATGGCTAAACCGTCTTTAAGCATTAATTACTGTTTGCAGTTTTGTCATCATTAACACTTTCTTCAACACTTTCTTTTTGTGGATTTTTTAAAAATAAAATCTGACTACAGAGATGAAGCTTTTAAAAATGCATTCCTCCTGATCGCCAGCAGGGGGCGACTGCTCTGGTTGATGGGAAAATGAGCGTTCTGCTCAGTGAACTCTCTCCGGATCACTTTATGGTCTCGCTCTCTGGCTTCAGGTCTGATGCTCCCTTTGGAGATTACGGTCCTATCAGAGTCACAGAGGAGCAGGAAGTGGAAACATTGGGTTCAAGTGGTTCTGCCTTATGATTGGCAGATAGAAAAAGGCACCAAAAAAACAGACAGTTAGCAGCTACAGCTGCCTGCATCGCCATGCACCTTTAATACAAAAAGGCCACGCCCCTAATAATGCAAACTTTACCTTTACAGTGTGTTTTCACCATTATATGGATTATAAACTGGCCCGTGAGGACCCGGAGAAACATTCGGGGTTCTTCTCTATCTGTTGAAGGCTGTTTACCTCAGCTGTCAATGCTGCGTGATGGCTGGAGTTAATGTATGTTGAACCGTTGGAAAGTACTGCTGTTAGCTAATCTTACCATCTTTTAGCTGCTGTTAGCTGCTGTTAGCTGCAATTGGTTTCTGTTAGTCAAAGCTGCACTAACATTTTGGGATGCTTAGCTCAGACTGCATCAGTTTGATGGACAATATAATTACACACTAATCTGGGAGTATAAAATGTTTGTTCTATTAAACAGGCTTAAAAATTGACTGAATTTGTAACAGAATCTAAACAGTTGTTATGAAGGAGGAAATTATCTACGGACACCAAACCAGTTTCTGTATCCGGCTGTAAACATGATTATTTCTTTAAAGGTTGAACATGGCAGGCAGCTCTCGCCTCTGTACAGGATGCTGATTGGATGTTGCTGAGCAGGTTGATTAGCAGGTACCTGAGTCTGTGTGGTGCCTTCGTTCAGTCTGTGGAGCTGCTCGACCAAATGTGCTCACCTCAGGCAGCTAAAAGTCGAACTGTGGGGTCAAAGTGCAGGTGCTGGACTCAAGAAATCAGAGTGAGGTCACCAAACGTTTTGTTTACGGCTCACATTTCTGCTCTCGAGCTAAGGTTTTGTTTAGGTTTTTTTTTTTATTCACTGTTTACAATATTGAATTTCATCAATAATTTCAGCCTTTAAGAAAAGAAACACCAATAATAATGTTCCATCTCTGACTGATATTTATTCATATTTTTAGCATGTTTGTGTCAGTTTGTCGACCACAGCCTGTATTTTTGTGTAAACAGAGGAAGCTGCAGGACGTCTCCTCGGCTCTGAGAGGAAGTTGGGTCACTCGAGCAGATATTTCTTCTCTCATTTCTCCTTTTTTGTTTCAGCAGTGCTTCCTGAGCTCTTTGCATCACAAGAGAAACCCACGCCTGTGGTGAAGCTGAGGGTGGAGCAGAGAGGAAGATGCTCTGACAGGATTTTTTTCAAAGAGGACTCGTTTCCTCCTGCAGCCGCCATCCAGGCATATGAAACCGTGTTTTCATGTTCAGGACGAACAACAAAGGCCTCAACATCACACTTACTACAGTGTTGTTTTCACTGCATGTCACCGTATCTTCAGACCAATCAGCTTTGGCGGTTTGAGCACTGAGACACAGGACGTGGTTGGAGGGGAGGGGTGAAGCAGACAGGAAGAAGTTTTATGAAGGAGGAGACCTTATAAGGTGAAAGAGACGCTTGCGGAAATGTGACCAAAGAGAAGTTACTCAACCTCAAAACCTCCTTCGTTACAACAGAAAGCGCAGACGTTTCAAATCCAACCCCCGAGAACACGAGGCGTTCACTGACCTGCGGCCTCCTGGTCTGCATCCGATGCACTGATGAAGAACTCGAGGTCCTCCTCAGTGAATACATGTCTGTGCAGCACTCTGGTGATCAGACTAAAGGTTAGCGAGCGCCGCGCTGTGGTAAACACAGTAAACCTGGGGTCAGTGGTGTGGATATGCTGGGAGCCCTCTGCCACACTTTTACAAACCCTCGGTAATGAAAAGAATGAATAATGAAACAGCAGAGCGTCATGACGGAGGAGGACTTCTTCTTTTAGGACGTCAAAGACGTCTTAGCTCTCTAGAACCTCCCTGAAGAAGACACCCTCTTCCTCCCACACCGCCTTCTCACCATCGACACATACACCTCTCTGCATTGAATCATTATCATCCTCCTCAGCGTCCTGTCTTCCTCCCCTCACCCCACCCGGCAGAGGGCCTTCCCTCCCTGAGCCTGGTTCTGTTGGAGTTTTCCCCTCCTACTGTCGCCCAGCGCTTAATCGTGGGACATCATCTGATTGTTTGGGTTTTCTCTGTGTTCTTGTGGAGTCTTTACCTCACAATACAAAGCGTGCGAGGTGATGAGAACTGACGAGTTGTTGGTGATGACAGCTTCAAGGCACTTCCTGTATGGAGAAACTAGTCACAGGCTTTGCTCCTATGAACGCACTGATGTTTTGGACCCTTTCTGTATCATCCTAGGTGTTGTCATGGTAACAGCTGGACGACCAATCATACAGTCTGCCAGCACAAATAAACCAAAGATTCCTGTTTCCATCTTTAATGTTAAACATTTGACTTCCATTGGGCAGAGCGTCATTTCAAGCTGCTTTCCTATTGGCTGGTTGTTAAAGGCGGTCATGCTGCCATCTTTAATCAGAACACCAACATGTCTGGCATCATTGAAGGTGGAACCTTGACCTGTGAAAACTTTCTCCCTCCAAAATCATCCGGTGGCCATTTGATGCATTTAGGAAACACCTGTAAATCGTAGCCTTTGGAAAGTCTAATGCTTCTGTACAGGCTGTGCTCTGTGCTGCCCCCTGCTGGTTAAACACTCGCCTGTCCCTCAGATCAGTGAACTGATAAGATAAGATAAGATAAGATAACCTTTATTAGTCCCACACGTGGGAAATTTGTTTTGTCACAGCAGGAAGTGGACAGTGCAAAAGTTATGAGGCAAAAATTATAAATGGATTAATAGATTATTAAAGGTGTTTGCACTCATTTTCATGTTCTTCCACAACAATGAGAAAAAATGAAATAATCTGAAATAATAAATGCTGTTAGCAGAAAATAACCCGTTTGTATGTTATCAGTAGATAAAAGACTACATCAGGAATGATTCAAAGTTATTCTAAAGGTCATTTATGACTCCAAATTGACAACCAGCTTCATTTAAACAGGCTGAACAGACGCAGGTGTGAACCCTCCCAGAGAACCAGCAGATGTCCTTTAAGACCACAACATTTATTATTTTTGGTACATTTAAAGGCAGAAATATTCTATTCACTGAGCTGTTTACATGACTCTGTTTAGTCTGGCAGCTTCAGGCCTCCGTACAGGTGAGGCTCAGTCACTGCAGTGCTCTGGGGCATCTTCATCACAAACCACAGTCTGCCTCACAGCAGATTTTGGACTTCTGAGGCACTTTCAGAGGAAAAAACAAAACCGTGATATTTCTTTGGTAACATCGTGAAAACATGACAATAATGTCATCAACTCACAAACAGCTTTTTACACAGGATGCAGTTCCTGCAGTGAAGTCCTTCACTGCAGTAAAAGTACCACTACAACAGCATTTAAATACTCTGGGAGCCGATGTTGGTGTTAGTTTGCTGGACTGGGGCTGATGGTTGGTCTGGTCGTCCCTGTTTCGGCTCCTCCTCGTCTTTTCTTTGGTGGTATGTAAGGTCTGATCTTCGCTGTCATGCAGAGACACGATCAAACAAGGGAAACCAGCGGCAGCGTAAAGCGTTTGGGTTCCTGGCGTGATGCTCAGTAACGTCCATGTTTCTTCTTGAAGAGCTTGTTAAAGGCGTTTCTCCTTCGGCTGCCGGACGACTCGCTATCCTCGCCGGCGTCTTCCTCCGTGCCGCCCTTTCTGGTGGGAACCTGGAGCCCCGCCCCCCGGGCGCTACCTGATGAGCTGGAAGAGGTGGACGACGAGAAGACGGCGGTTCCGTCTGTAGCGTCCGATGTGATGCAGAGGGAGCGAGTGGAGCAGGCGGAGGCGAGGACGGAAGCAGAGATGCCCCTCAGCTCCCCGAGGCTGGAGCTCTTCTCTAGACCTCCTCCTCCACCTCCCATACCCAGCCTGGAGCCCGGGTCCTGCAGTGGGTGGAGCCTGGACGTCAGGAGGAAGGACTTTGAGCTGTGCTGACCTCGGGGGTCGCTGTGAGACTGCGGGAGGGCGGAGTCAGAGTCTGAGCGGTTCATGATGTCCCTGAAAGAGAAAATCAGAAACGATGGTTTGCGACTGCTGAGACTCTTCACCGAGACGCTGGTGACAGAGCGTCTCGGTGAAGCTGCAGATGATTGGTCGACTGCTCGAGCTTCTTAGCCACCATTTTTAAAAATCAGAATCCACCTCTGAGCTGCAGTTTGACAGCCATGGCTGGAATAACTGAGTACACAGACCGCTGCAGTCATGGTCGACACATCGGTGACCGCCTGCCGTAACTTAGCTGTCAGCACGACGCTGTAAACATGTGCGCTCGTGTCTGAATCGCTGCAGTCTTATTAGAAACATGGACGATGAACAGAAGAAACCGCCTCCTGCTACGTGTTCATATGTAATGACTGGTTCTCGGACTGGTGGAAACGTGGCGCCGACACAGAAACGACTGACTCGTGCATTTATTACTGCAGAGCAGGAAAATAACGAGTTCGTAAAGCAGAAGCTTTGAATGAGGATGTTTTCTGTTAAGTAGAAGGTAAAGGCAAAGTTAGAGGGAAACAGCAAACCACAGAGACCCTGAAAGATACAACCGGAAAGAACATAAATGTTAATAACAGAGTAGGAAACTCTGCAGGAAACAGTGAAACATTGGGCCTCATTCATCAAAAGCTTTCTCTTTAAGCACCCCTGATCTCTTCTTACCTAAACTCTCAACCTGAACTGTTGAGGTTTGGAAGGAAACAAATTCAGAGAAAGTCCTCAAAACTCTTGGATACTAACTCTAAGAACTAAAGAACGCCCGTAGAAGATCCTAAAATTAAATTCAAAACATTTAAGAGTCTTCATCCATTTATCTGAGGTTGGGCCACGAAGGCAGCAACGTTTTCCCGGGATCGTTGGGAATAAGACACCAAACAGACATCCTGATGAATCAATCCCAACATCTAAAGGAGCAGTGGCTCCACTCAACATGTTAAAGCTTCTAAACATCTTCAACAAAAGGCGCACATACACCAGTCGAGACAATCAGCAACCTGACAACCAAAGACCACCAACTGGTGCACTGCTTGCTGGAGTAATCTCACAGCACCTTTGAGGCCAGTGTTTGAAGCAACTATGAACAAAGGGTAATAAATAATAAATAAATAAATAACAAAGGGTTCTGTTGAAGGATTATATCCATGTTTGCATCAAGAGCCTAGTGACCAGCCTTCAGCTGCAGAGGGTAGAAACACAGATCAACCAGCTTCATGTTCTCCCACAGTTCTCTCTTTGCCATCGTCCAGTTCCCACAAAACTGATGGGACTAAACAATCCAAAGGTCCACCTCACCTCCACCTTCCAATCTGTTGTCAGTGCTTGGGGCAACAACACTCCTCCAACCCAGACGACTATTCCACCATATAAAAAAAAGAAAAAACAAAAGACAACTTAAAATCTGGAGATACTTAAGCATAACTTGGTTTCTCAAACAGAAACACGGTTCTAAAGTTCCTAAAAGGACGACCTACGCTTTGAGCTCCAGTCGATAAACGTCACAGGGCTGAATACAACAGGCAACCCCAGCATTTTCCAAAGGTGTGGACACTCTGGTCACACCAGGTGAGCTCGCAAGTCCTCAGCAAGTCCACAAACACATCGACTGGATGGCCTAACAACCTTTCCAGGGTTCAACAACTTTCAATTACTGTCGACCCTGAGCACTACTATACTTTAAACTCTGAAAGAAAGCGCTCCAGCAGGTGCTGAGGACTACACTCTGACCAAGTCGAGTGAACCACATCTGGTCCAGCAGCAGCTGCTTTTGACCAGAAATACAGACAAAGCTCCAATCTGGTCACATGTCAACTTCACAGCTTTGAACACCACCTGAGGTACATCTGAACACCTTCACCGAGTCCCCTAAACAGAAGCAGGCTGTACTTGCAGACACCTGCAACACAGCCAGAAGAACCACGAGGTTAAAGAGAAGCTTCACTGTTCTACAGCCAGGACGGCGTCCATGTGGTTCCTCCTGAACCTCCCAATACGATGGATTCCAAACTCTAATATACTTTGACAACCTTCCCTTCTTCTATCAGCTGCTCCCTTTAGGCGTCCCCACAGATCACCTGCAGGCCTGCTCACAACAGCCCTCTGCATGTCCTTCACTTTTGACCACCTGAGAATTCAAACTAAAACTTGAACTCGAACCGGCGAGTCTCATAAATTATCTCAAACCGAGCGAGGCCCACTGATTCGACTGCTTCGGTCTCGTTAGTGCATCAGGTTTGGAAAACAGTCATGCAGAGAAAAATACCGGAAGCTGCTGGAGCGACAGCGCTGCGCTTGACTTGTCACAGCGCCCCCTCCAGGCGGGAGGCTGGACGTCGCCTCCGCAGAGTGGAAATGGGAAGAACGGAGGAACAGAGCAGAAAAGTGGGCGGTGCCCTCAGCGCATGAAGAAGAGTCAGAAGGTGGAGGAGAGCAGGAGAAGGTGGGGGGGTGAGAAGAGGAGGTGGGGCTGAGGGAGGGGTGAGACAGGGCGGAGGAGAGAGAAGGGGGAGGCACAGGGGGGAACTCCAGGTGGCCAATGGAGCGGCTGCGATTCTGCCGGCCGCTGGGAGGGCGGCACGATGTGAACGGGTCACGTCCTTCCTGTGGAACCAAGCTCCGCCCTTCAACCAACCTCTGAGAGCTGAAAGTGTTCAGGGCGGGGTCTCCGATCCTCTGTCGCAGGGGCATCACACTCTGAGCTGCAGGACAAAGAGAGTGTAGAGTTACAAATGAGACTCTTATTTTGGAAACCAAAATAAATTCAGCTCACAAATAGAAGAAAGCAGTTTTAAACTAAAAAGGGTCAAAGAAAAGGCAGAAAAATGTGCTTGTATTTTGAAATTTAGCAGCCAAACCTTCAAAATAAAATCCGGTGTTTTCTTCAGCTTTCAGAACATTTTTCATGTTTCTTCTTTGAGCTCTTCTGTTGTTCAACCTGAGCTCATTTTATTTTTCTACAAGCGATTTTTTTTGTGTTTTTCAAGCTTTTGCTGCATGAACTGACGTCACAGTCCAGCCGAGTTACAAAACATCAGCTGCTATTAAAGTGGATGTTAGTGAAAGGAAGAGGCAGAAGCAGGTTATTAAAATGAAGTGAGGGCTCCGGGACTTCAGAGAAAAAGCAGAAGAACAAACTGAAGTTTGAATGTCCAACCACACGGGGAGGAAGAAGATGAGGAGGAAGAAGAGAAACACTCGACGAGGCGTTCACAGGGACACTGACCCGGTTTAATATTTTGACACAGTAACTAAAAATCATTAGTGCCAAACGTAATAAACGTACCGATTTTAAAAGAAGTTAAAAAATATTCAGATTCAAATCTGAATATTAATGTTGCCCATTTAGTAAGGCCTTATTTTTGTGCCACTATTCTGAGCGCACATAAAACAATTGCAGGTGCAAGTGTTGCATTTTGAGGAAAAATTTATTTTGAGCGAAGAAAAGCTTACTTTGAGTGAACAAACTTTATTGCTGCGTGCACAAACTGTATTTCAGCTACAATCATACCCCTATAGTTACATTCGTGCCTATAGTTACATTGTAACATCAGTTTCAGGTGGAACAGGCAGCAGCTCCCGTGTGTTACGCAGTCAAACTGTTTAATATTCTGACATTTAATCAAGGATCTAACTTCCTTGATTAAAGGAAAACTTTCTATAGTAAAATGCACTTCAAAGAAAAAGAATCTGTGTTCATGTGAACGTCTTTGCACGACTGATCAATACCTCTGTGTCTGATTGAAAAAGATTATTCAGACTTTGCAGGAATGAAGAAAAATTATTCTGAATTTTTCCTCTGATCAGGTTTCCTTTGAAATGCTTTAAAGGATCTTAAATGTGTTTTAGGTGCTGATTGGTTGGGTTTGTACAGAGGTATGAACCAATCAGAAGAGAGGAAGGCTAAGGAAGGGGTGAGGCCAACCGGATTGTTTCCACGCTGACTGGGTGTCTGCGATGCCACTCAGGGGCCAGAGGTCGCTGACTCGCCGGTCCATCTGCCACGCTGCGTCTGGAAGGAGCCAATCAAGAGACGGCAAGAAAATAAGACCAATCAGAGGAGGAGGCGGAGACAGAGAGGGGACCACAGGTGAGCTGAGAGAAGGTAAGTAATGATTAACTCTGAAGTTTAGGGTTTGTGTTTTTGTTGCATCATGTGACTCTGAAGAAGAAGAAGAGTTGAAGGAAAGTTCCACTGTTCTTAATTCAGGACTTCACCTTAAGATTTCATTCTAACGAAATGATCAGAGAGCAAAAGTGTATGAATCAGAACATCCAAATCTTTGTTCTGAGTGTAGAGATCAGCTGATCTGCAAAAGGCAGCAGGTTAAGAGCCATCAAAGTGATCCTGAGTTAGCTTAACTAAGCTAACTCAGGATCACAGCCGACTTTCCAACTGCTAGTTAAACTGACTCAGGGTTACTGTGATGACGTCACAGAGCAGACTTACACTGCAGCGTCCCCGGAGAAAGGATGTCCTCGTCCATGTCATCTAGGTCATCAGAAAGGAGAAGGTGCTGAGGGGTCGGAGGTCGCAGCCCGAGGAAGGACGGGTCCAGGTTGAGGGCGGTGGCTAGCGCACCGAGGCCTGGATTGGTGACCAAACAGAAGCCCGTCAGAGACTCGATCTGCTGCCAGCGGTGCAGCTTCTCCCGCAGCGCCGCTGTCACCTCAGCCAGGGCCTGTCTGAGGAGGAAGAGAAGCAAAATAAGCTACCTGTGCAGGTAACACAGGTGCGCGTGTAACAGGACGCATCAGCAAATATATGTCCCACAGAGTGAGCACAGAGGAAAGAAACAGGAATATTTATACAGAAAGAATAGTTCAGGGACTCCACAGTCACCTGTCCATCAAGCAGGCCACGCCCCTCCAAATGCCAATTCTAAGCCTTAATTTAATTTAAAACAGGTTATTTAGAAAAATAATCTACATAGACCAAACAGTTTGTGTATCAGGCTGCAAGCATGTTTGTTTCTGCTGTAAAGTTTAACATGGGAGTCTATGAGCACCGACTCACTGCTGCCTCCGCTGGACATCAGAGGAACTGCAGGCTTTGCGCTTACTCACTTGGCGGAGAGGATCTTGTGATCGACGTCATCCAGCGAGGAGCTGTGAGCCACGTGAAACGTGCCGAACAGAGAACTCCTCTTCTTCTTGATCTTCTCTGCCTGAAACACCAGCCTCATCATCATCATCATCAATGTTAGTGTGTGTTTTTTCTCACCGTAATGGTAAACCAATATCAGAATATATCGATTCTGTGCAGTTTACGGTGCTGCTCCTACAAATCTATAAATCTTAGCTCAAATCTCATGACAGCGTCTTCATCATGTGTGCTTTAGCTTGTTTATCTCACAGTCAGGATAACATCAAAATGACAAAATGTAGAAATGATGAGGATCCCGATATGGTTCCTGTATCATGTGTGAGGTGCGTTCAAGGCCATCTCCCCATGGAAGTCCCGCTCTGACCTCTTCCAGAGTCTCAACAGTGACCCTCAGCTTGAATATTTGACATCAACTCTTTATCAGTCAGGACTTCCACAGTAGTCACCTCAGCTCCCGTTTAGGAAAGAAAGCTAAATGCATGTTGTAAACTGTTGGCTCAATCCCGGATAAGCCCCCAACTATTTTTAACTAATAACTAATTAACTATAACTATTTTCCAGTAAGTATTTGAGGATAATGAAGGATTTTGCTGCAGGAAACACACTGTCAAACCAGACTAAAGAGCCTGGACGACTTCCGCTTTCAGCTCTCATAGTGCGTCTAAACCAAACATGATACAAAATTTTGGTTCGTATTACACTCGTAAATATCCACTTTCAGACTTATTAAAGTCCTGTGTTTCTGCTCAGGCCCTGTTTCTGTATAAAACGAAATTTGGACGAGTCAGCTCCAGCTTTTCTTGAAAGGCATCAGTGGGCTTGACCGCTTCCCTCATGCATCAGGATGTCCCCGTCTCTCCCTGACTGATGAACTCACCATGAACGACCCAGAGGACACCAACAGGTTTGTCAGGTTTGGACACTTGCTGACTAAGAATTTGATGTTTGCAGGACATCAGAGCAGGTCTTCCAGACAGATCTGAAAGTAGAAGCAGCTCCAGAGGTCCTGGAGACGACCTTGAAGGGGCTCAGGGATGGTTTTTGCTTTCTGGAAAGTTGCTTTTTGGCCATTTTCCACAGCAGGAAGTGTCCCTGAGAGACGTCCATCAGAGAAACGTTAAATTTAAGCCAATTATCTTTGCTTCACTCACCCCCTCTCTGGCCTGTAGCAGCTGCCGCTCAGCGCTCTGTTTCTTGATGTTGTAATACTGAACTTCGATTTCGTGCGTCAGCTGCAGCCACTTCTGCAGCGCCTCCGGCGGGGTCCAGTGGACTCGTGACTCCAGCTCCCGCTCTGCCTTTTTCAGCACCTTGCGGACCTGCGGTGAACACAGAACAAAGATGAGCCGATGAATTGATGGAGGGACGGACGGGCGGTGTTTTAAACGGCCCCACCTGCTCCAGCTCCTCCTCGGCATATTTCTGCCGGCTCCGCTCGTTCTTGTTTCCCTCTCGCAGCTCACGAAGCCGCAGAGCTTCCTCCTTGGCCGAGTTGATCTCGTTCCTCAGCTCCTCCTCCACCTTCACCTTCTCCACCTGGACGCAGCGCTGCTCCTCTTGAGCCTGCTGCAGCCTGCCATGAAAAAACAACGAGAGCAGCAACACGTCGGGTTAAAACGGCGTCACCACTTTCCACCCGTGTCCCATTTCCACAGAGTCAAAGACATTTACGGAGATGAGCGTTCGAGTGATGTTTAAGAATCGTCAAAACACGCCAACCTGAAAGGCTCAGCTGAGGTTAGCTGGCTTCTCATGCAACGACAACACGTTCTGGATCAGATTCAGATCTGGGAGTTTGCAAAACATTAATAATAATAATAATAATGATACTTGTGGCTATGCTGTGGGACAGGAGCTCCAGCAGATTGGAAAACTCACAGGCTGTCACCAAACTGCTCCTGGATCAGTGGAAGAAGTTGGACTTTGACGATGTTCTCAGTGTGTCGAGCCCACAAACTGAGGGCAGCCTGCAGCTGTGAGGAGCTGGAGCAGAGGCTCTGATGAAGGGTAACTTTGATGGTCCCTCACAGAAATGGCAAAAATCCCAAATAAAAACTGAAGAAACTGAAACTTCATGTCTGCATGTCGCAGATTTGCTGAAGCTCACATCTGACTCTCCTCACGGCCCCACAGCCACGTCATTATGAAGGAGATCAGCATTTCCTGTTAGCACAGGAAGTGAGGTCAGCAGGTTCAGAGCGCTGAACTTTTAGAATGAAACTGTTTTTATTCCTACTCTACTATTTCCTAACCGACCCATTTCCTTATTGACTTTTATTGATGATTAACCTGTGGAATTTCTTACTCATTTTACTGTTTAGTCATAAAAAAATAAATAGAATCTGGAAAATGTTCACAATTAAGAAGCTTGACTTCCTGTCATGTGACTGATGACTTCCGCATGCCAGCGCAGCAACACAAAGAAGCTGCTGGCCTTCAGTTATCACTGATGGCAGCAGGAGGCGCTGTTCTTCCACCTGAGGAGACGTGTGTGTGTGTGTGTGTGTGTGTGTGTGTGTGTGTGTGTGTGTTGGGGGGGGGGGGGGGCTATTTTTGGAGAGAGGACAAACAGACAGCAGCTGGGGGATTTCAGACAGGAAACAGAGCCGATGCTTCAATTGATCCCAGCAGATCAGCTGAGTGTGTAAAAGTAGCAACAACAGTAATAACAGCTGTGTGTGTTTTAACTCCTGGTATAAGCTCACACAGGAGCAGTGAGGATAATGACAGTGTGAGTGTGCTCTGAAGCCCCTTCTGAGAAGCAATCAGAGACAGGGGGGAGGAAGAACTCCTCTTTAACACGAACAGCAGAACCAGGATCAAGGAGGAGCAGCTGCATGTTGGAGGGCGTGGGGTTGGCTGTGCTTCACAGCCCCCCCGGCTCTATGAGAGACTGTGCGAGTCGTCCACTAGTGAGACTAGTGAGAGCACACAGTGAGCAGGAGCAACGTCACCGAGAACCACGGCCAGCGAACGCGTCGCTGCATCCACACAGGAAGCTCGTCTGTCTCGTGAAGAAGGTCCAGACCTGCAAACATCTGGAGCTTTATAAGGAACAGCTGGAGTCTGCAGCGTGTGGAGAGCAGCTGACTTTATAAAACAAACACACGATTACTATCAAGATAACTGCTTGCTGCCATGGCAACGCTATCACTTTGATCTGCAATGTGATCGCTGTTACAGCGTGTGTGTGTGTGTGTGTGTGTGCGCGCGCAGAGTGAGCTGCTGGGCACTCATGCCCATAAAAGGACTTCAGACAGGACACCTCTGCAGAGGCTGTCCACACACACACACACACACACACACACACACACACACACACACACACACACACACAGGTTGCTTCCTTGTGCTGTCACAGTTATAATAAAACGAGCTGCTCTGTTTTTTCTCTGGACTTTTTTAAACAACCTGCCAAAACACAGAGCCACTGCTGGGGGCGTGGCCTGTTTGATGACAGGCTGCAGCTGCTAGCTGCGTGCTAGTTCACCTCTGGTCCTCTGGGCCGTCTTTGTGCTGTCAAATAAACCCATAACGTGGCTGCTGTTCAGTTAACGGTTTAGAGCAGGGGTGTCCAACTGCAGGCCTCGAGGGCCGGTGTCCTGCAGGGTTTAGATGTGTCCTTGATCCAACACAGCTGATTTAAAGGGCTAAATGAAAACATGTCTTGACGTTCTCCAGAGGCCTGGTAATGAACTAATCATGTGATTCAGGAGTGCTGACCCAGGGTGAGATCTAAAACCTGCAGGACACCGGCCCCCGAGGCCTGCAGTTGGACACCCCTGGTTTAGAGGAAGGATTTTAATTGGATGTTACAGGTCAGCAGGTACCTGCGTACAGTCTGTAACTCCACCCTCTTGTCACAACCCCCCCCCCCCAAAACACAACATGGTGGCTAAAATGCTAATGTTGCCTGCTACCATCTTTTATATACAGTCTATAGACCATCAGCTGAGTGTGGGCGTGGTGCTGGAGGACGTACTTCTCCTGCAGGTCGAGCAGGCTTTGCTCCGCCCTCTGCAGGCTCTCCAGGTCCTTCACCAGCTTCCCCAGGTCGTCTCTGGACTTCCGGGTCTGGGCGTAGGCGAACCAGCAGCCGCCAAGCGCCATCAGGATGGACAGACCCAGCACCAGGTCCTTCCAGCGGCTCTGCTGGCCTGCAGACACACAGACATTACACACCAGCAGCACGCGCAGAAACACGCGCACATGCACACGTTGGTGCACACACACCTGGCGGCGGCCCGAACAGCACGATGTCGAGAGCTTTGAGCTGCAGCTTCTGAGCGTGACTCCGGTCTAAAATCTTCAGCACGGACACGGTCAGGGTCGCGTTCTTCACCGCCAACCTGCAGGAAGTGGAAACACACAGCAGACACACACATCGCGCTCTGAATGTTTACACTAAAACGTGCTGAACTTTGTGACCTCGCAGCTGAGGACGGGTCAGGATCAGTGTCTCCGTGTTACTGCTGACTCACGGCGAGCGTCTGTGTTAAATAAAGATCGTCGTGGTTACCTGGGCAGCGCTTGGCCGTCCAGCTGGTGTCTCCTGAAGCTTTCTCTGTACTGAGGCAGCTCGACGCTGGCAAGCCAGTCCTCCACCCGCTGCACCGTCCAGTTGTAGACTGAAAACACAGTAAACACACCTGAAGCAGCCGGCATGTGTAAACAAACAGGAAACTGTCAGCGTCGCCGAGTGATGGCGGCTTTAACTCCAGCCTCTCCTCCAAAAATAGAGTTTGACAAACGTTGTGTTTTTGTTGCTGACAAACTGAGCAGGAAGTCGAGGCAGCATTTTTCCCCTCATCGTTTCCTTTCTGCCTTCACACCTGCTGATTTTAACTGCAGCTTTTATTTTGATGGGGTCAGACAGGGAAGTACACCGCACATCTTTAACTGGCGCGTGTGCTGGTGTGCGCGTGTGCTCGAGCCTGGTTGGAGGGGAGGTGATGGTGCTCCTTCGCTCACACCCACCTTCGGAGCCCTTCCAGGCGTTCCACATGTCCTCCACGCTGATGTGGGCGTCGGCTCGGTGGAAGCTGCTGTGTTTGGCTTTGGGGTTGTGATCCTTCAGATCCTCCCTGAGAAACTGAGAGCAGCTCACAGTTAGAGTCTGAGCCCGCGTGCACGCGTGAAGCTTTCGGAGCCTCGTGTCTCACCTCGTCCGTCTCGGTCGCGTCCACCGTGCCGTCGGCGTCGTCGTCCATCAGCTTGTGGATGCTGCGGATCGCCTCGAAGCTCAGCAGAGAGTTCTCGTCCTCGCAGAGCTGCTGGTCTATCGCGCACAGATCTACGAGAGGAAACATCCGTCACTGAGTCACAGCCGGGACAATCCCCGCCCACCGTGCGTGCTGTTGCGGTGGTCAGAGGTCATCGGGGGTCAAACACAACATCGAGTGACACTTTATTAAAATGAGCCTGTAAAAACGTTTCCCTCCATCTTTGCAGGCACACAACGTCTCTGACTGACCTCCTGCTGCTCAGGTATCATCCACGTGTGACTTCCTGTCCTGGTTTCAGTTCAGCTCTAGAGTGACCACGCCACACGCAGCCAGAGACAGCTGCACGAAGAGTAAACACTCATCGCTCGCACCTGCCATCTTTGTTTGGGTCACAGAACGGAGACGCGTCCCGCAGGAAGTTATTTTAGGTCTGCCTTTAAATCTACTTTCAGTCTTTCTGTAACAGTTTCAGGCTCTGTGGCTGTTTCATCTCCGTCTGTGATTCATTATTCTTTCTGTTTCCACCAAACAACATCACACAACAACTCATGTTCACATGAACGACGACTACGAGGAAGTAGGGAGCAACTGAAAGTGCCACACTCACTTCCTGTTAGCCTCTGCTAGCAGCTAGCGTCTGATCGTCACCAAACATGACAGCAGTGAAAAGTTCATGACTGCATTTGGTCATTTCAGCCTCCGAGAGTGTGTGTGTGTGTGTCAGTGTGTGTCTGTGTGTGTGTGTCAGTGTGTGTGTGTGTGTGTGTGTCTGTGTGTGTGTGTGTGTCAGTGTGTGTGTGTGTGTGTGTGTGTGTGTGTGTGTGTGTCAGTGTGTGTCAGTGTGTGTGTGTGTGTGTGTCAGTGTGTGTGTGTGTGTGTGTGAGTGTGTGTGTGTGTGTCAGTGTGTGTGTGTGTGTGTGTGTGTGTGTGTGTGTGTGTGTGTGTGTGTCAGTGTGTGTCAGTGTGTGTGTGTGTGTGTCCCCTCATCTTTGTGAGGACCGAAATCTGCATTTTACTATACTTGTGAGAACCAACAGTCACTTGTGAGGACACACACACGCACACACACAGACACACAAGCTCAGGTTTTCTGTCATTAGCAGTGACACCACAGAAGAAGACCGGGACGAGGTGAAGAGCGCCGGCGTCTGAGGCTTAAGACGAGCAGCTGTGAGGACGGAAATACTCGGATGACTGGGAATAATGAGGATGGAGGTCGAGTCAAAGTTACACAGTCACTACACTTCCCATCATGCATCCTGCACAGCTTCTGCAAACGCATTAAGTGTAACAGCTGCCTTATTACCACCATCACTGCCTGTGGAGCTGAAACACCTTCAGGCTCTCAGTTTTCTCATAGGACCGGAGCACGTTCTCCTCCATCCTCACCATCTCTACTTCCTGTCCGCGATCAGGCTGTGGGCGGAGCCTATCTGTCACCCTGCTTCCTTTGACACTGTTAGCTTGTCATTTTCAGGAAGCTGTGGTGAGCTGCCAACGGCTAGCTCCCACGCTATCAGTGCTGCACAGCTCTGAGACAACGCACGCACACACACACACACACACACACCGTCTTGCTGTTTGGTTCCTATGAAGAACACCCACAAACACGCTGACCGCACACAGGAAGTGCCGCCGTCTTTGGCAACAATAGCTGAGCGTCACGTCACCTCTGTCAGCCCGTGAAATAACTCTCGCCTCTTCGTGTTGTCCTGAAACACTGACTGCAGCGTGCTGGCTTGTCTCAGCATGCCGGAGACGGCTCTGAATAACTGCCAATGCTTGATGAAGACATCTCATACTACGATGACAGAACGCCGCTGCTTTACATGACCAACGGAAGAGCGAGCAGCAGATCATCGTTTGTCCTCTGGTCAGACTAGACATGACCCTCGGAGAAAACCTCAACCACTGACACGTCAAACTCCACAAGCAGTTGTTTAAATGGAGGGGGCTTATTCTGCTTGTTACCAGGCCTGTTCTCAGATCTGTAGATCTGCTGTCTGAAACTGGCTGCTTTAGCTCCCGTCTCTTTAAGGCACCCCTCCTTAAAAGCCCACATTCTTATGATTGGCCTGATCCTGAAAACCTGCAGAGGGGCAGGTCCAGACTGCTTATAAAAGATGGACGTAGCTTTCACATCTGAAAATTGAAGCCAGTTTTTCAGTGTCTGCAAGCTTTCTAATGTCCAGCAAGGGGGTGACCCTAAAAGAGAAGTCTTGATTGGAAGTCCATGAGCCAATAGCCTTGAGCTCAGGAAACACCTCATGAGTTTCAGGTCATGTAAGCACAAAAAAACTGATTTGGGTTCAGTTAGCATTTTGAACTAACCTTAGCAAAACAGGTAGCAATGTAGCAGCAAAGGTAACCTTGCTGGGTATCAAGCAATTTTCTCGCATTAGCCAGTAAGCTAGCATTAGTTAGTATGACCTGGAAAAAAACAGGTGTTATTTAACCCTTGTGTTGTCCTCAGGTCAAATGACCCCAGGTGTATGGGAATCCAGAGGACATTACAAGGGTTAAAAGCTACCTGATGTAATAAACGTACTGTCCTGAGTAGATAAGGTAGGCTAATTCATCCAAAATCTCTAGTATGGTCAGCTACGAGTTTTAAGTGGAATAGCGATCTAACAGCTAGCTATCTAACCTCACCATGATGTTACTTGTATTAAAATCATCAAACAATGTTAATTTTCTCCAGCAAAGATGTACAACTAACATTTACTCTCTACGATAACGGCTAACATGATTAACAAGTAGTTAGCAAGCTAATTATAACGGACTGGGAATGATTCAGGATTTTTCTGCCATCACGATGACTTCTAGCATAATTAATAACAGTATTTTGAGCCACTTTAATTTAAAATGAATGTAATCTACAACATCCTAAGATGGTACAGGAAGTCTTTTAATTTGACAAGTAATCAGGATCCCCGGTTTGTTTAAAAAATAAAGGTTTGTTTTGTAAACAGTTAAATAAGAGGTGGCTGACATCATTCATATACACATGAACATAAGAGTGCTTCATACCTGAGGTTGTGTCGCTGGTGGACACCACATGATGATGATGCTGCTCTGGGTGGGCGTGGTCACTGCTTCTATCCAATCCATGATGAGCCTCAACACGCATGCTCAGCAGACACACACCTGCCAGCCACACACACACACACGCCATATCTGAGGAGGAAGCAGAAGAAGCCTTTCAGAATAAAAACTGAAACGCGTGGTTGAGTATGAGCCGCTGACAGGTGAGTGGATGGTGCATGTTCATCATGGATCGATCTGTAAACTAACGAGTCTCCAGCAGCTGCTGTCCCGGGGTGCGAAGACACGAGCGCTTTCGGGAAACACCTGTTCATGCAGATAATCAGTCCCTCAGCCAATCAGCTGCACCACAATGAAATGTTCTGAAAGCTGACATTGTCTCGTCAAACAGCACCACAGTGCCTGTGAACACACACTTAGCAAACAACACCAGACTTCATTCAAACTGTGTTCACGTTAGATTTTATTCTGAAACTCCCAATCTTTGTATTTTAGGAGAACAGCACTGAGTGGGAAACTGACAATTTGGCTAATTTAGGACTGCGTTTATTCAAGTGAACTTCTTACTTTCTGGTTCTATTTTCATCAAACAAAAACACTGTACATACACACTGAGGGCTGGTTTCCCACACATTCATTATTATATAATACTATATATAATAATACACATCTGCTCAAATACAACCAGACCAGACTCCATTCAAATTTCGGCCACTTTTAGAAGATTTATCTGGCTGTGGTTTGGCAGCTAAAACGGAGCACACGAGGCTGTTTTAGGTGAAGCCTGGTTTGTGCTTCTCCCGTGAGGACTGGGATTATTGATCTGATCGTTTTACGCACAAAGCTGAGTTTGATTAAGGAGGAGGCGTTCACGGCCCGGTGCTCATCTCTCTCAGCTGAGCTAGTCTTTTTCGCCGCGTTTTAAACACAGCAGCACGTGACCCCATCGCTGATCTATCGATACTTTGCCGCTTCAGCAATCACATGCTGCTTCCCGCGAGAACTTTAATTAACGTTTGTTTAAAAGGGTCAGAGGTCACACAGCTGTTCGGTTTCCCACCCGCTCGGTTTAAACCCCGAAAGTTTCACAAACAACTAAAATCAGCTGAAAGTGAACGCCACGCACCTCTAACACATCGATCCCATCTGATCAGCTGTGATCGATCCGGACAGAGAGAATCACGCAGCCTGCTCCGCACTCCTCCACCCTCCGACTCCAACTCCACAAACTGCAGTTGCTGAGAGCACGAAGATATCCGCCTGTGCCGCGTTCACGGACCCACAGAGAGCTCCGAATTCAAAAACCTCAGGATATACATATATTTTTTAAATCAAAAGGCAGCGCCCAGTTGCTTCTGCAGGGTGACAGCGCCACTCTGAGGTCAGTCAGAGGAAGTGCAGCTCGCCCAGCGGTCACATCAGTGCTGACAGGAAGCGTAACCTCGAAATAACGCGTCACCAGAACACCAGAAATGAAAGCAGACTCCGCCAAAGTGCTGAATATACAAGTGAGACCAAAGAAGAAGAGGGTTCATCTCCGTCTCCCTGTCAGCTTCACCTGCAGCTTTTTGGCCAATCAGATCCCAGAAAACAGCCTCACGCTTCCTGAGAGGTCAAAGTGCAACCTGTTTCACTGCTGACACTTCACTAGTATCACCAGCCTGGAGCTGCTTTCAGCCTTCATGGATTCAAGGAGCTGCTGGAGGTCAGGGTCCATGTTGATCTGACATCATCACACATGCTGTTGTAGCCATCATGACAGTAAAGCTCCTCTACTGGTCTATGGAGGCCATTTGAGTGCAGCACATTCACCTCTGACCTCGTGTCTGCGCTGCAAAATGAGCCCGTCATGTGATTGGCTGATACTACAAGTGGCAGGTTATTTAAGCTGAGATGAACTCAGTTCTTATCCTTCTGTGACTGTCGGCTCAGCACCAGCTTCACTTCCTCTTCAAATGAACTTTTAACACACACACACACACACACACACACACACACACACACACACACACACACACACGAATAAATACCCAGAGCAGGATGTTTGAACCCACTGAACCTTTATTGATGTTTGGAACCCAAATGACAGTAAAACTCAGGCAATTAACGATCAATGAGATCAATCAGTATTCACACAAACAGCTTTCAGATGCTTTTATTGATCCAAAGAGAAAGAAAAACAGAAAGAGGGCGGGCTCCTCGGTAGACGAGTCCACGACGCCTCCCGCTCAGACGATGCTTACCTTCAACACCTGCGAGGGCCCATCGATAAACCAATCAATCATCAATAATCTATGTACAGGGGTAACAGCTGATTCAATCACTGTAACACCAGAGTTACCAAAAATACTTTAATGTATAAATTAGGTCATGTACAGGTTCACTGAGGCAGCCGCACGGCCGCGAGTCCAAATACAAAAATGTATTCAAGTACAGACGCAGAGGACGAGTCCCTGCAGCTAAAAACCGCCGCCACCTCACAACGCCGCCGCCGCCTCCTCACCTGCCTCCGTCTTCACTTCAGGAGGCTCCCCGCTCTCATTCTGCACCTCCTGTTTCACTGAGGTGGCGGCGGCAGCAGCAGCGGCAGCAACAGCACAGGAAGTGACCTCCTCCTGCTTTTCTTCCGTCTTCACGAAGGCGCCCAGCGGGTGGTCGGTCAGCAGCTTACTGGGCGACGGCGTGACGTCGACATACGACGATGTCTGAGGAGACAAATGAGAGCGGCGCAAAGAAAAACATGTGAGTTTATACCAGAGAAGAAGAAAGAGGAGGAAGGAGGAGGTGAGGGAGGAGGTGAGGCTTACGTTCTTATAATCCTCGAAGCAGGAGGGGTGGAAGTTCTGTGGAGGGAAAACAAACAGCTGGTCACTCGCTTTGTTCTTATTGGTCATCTTACTGATTAGAAGTGGATGGGTGGAGCCTCGGCACACCTTGTCATCGACCTTGACGGCGTTCTTCAGGAACCAGTCCTCCTCCTCCTCCACCCAGTACGTCTCAAAGGGCTCCTGACAGATCTCACAGCTCTGCAGGGAGGAAGGAAGCATTTTTATTGGGCGAGCCTGTGATGTCACCGACAAGCAGGTTGGCCGTCGATTGGCCGTCCGCCGTACTCACCTCTCCCACCTGGTCCTTGGTGGCTCTCACGATCTGGAACTCCTTCTCCTTGGCAGCCGCCTGGCTCTTCTGCACCTCCTCCTCGTTCTCCTTCTCGAAGAACTGGCTCTTGGCGCGCTCCTCCAGGTCGGCGATCTCCTCGAACTCGATCCAGTCCTGCACGACAAACGTATCGTTACATCAGAGCGCTCCACAGAGAGCTAGGCGCCGCGCCCCATGAGGCGTGTTCGTTCTCACCGTGAGGCTGTAGTACCAGCGGCGGTGCGTGACCTTCTTGCTCGCCACTTTGCCGGCGTGGTTCTGCCTGAAGTGCCAGTCCAGGTGGTCAGCGTACATGTCGGTCTGGGCGGCGGTGAAGCGCATGCTGCACAGGCAGCACTGGTTCCCTGAGTACAGCTTCGTCACCACGCTCTCGTAGCGCCTGCGAGAGGGGCGGGGCAAAGTGAGTCACAGCAGAACAAAGTAACCTCGACGATGAGGACAGGCAAATACTCACTGTTTCATATCGTCGATGCTGAAGCTGGTGAGGTCCAGCACGTCGTCCTCGCCCTCACCCTCGCCCTCACCCTCCACCTCCTGCTCCTCCTCTTCCTCCTCCTCTGGTGGCGGTGCCGGCGGAGGTACAGAAGACGATTCTGGAAAAAAAAAAACAACAAACACATCAAACTCGACTGAAGAAGAAGGTTAAAGGCGACAGAGGGAGGGGCTTCACTGACCGCTGCTGGAGGCGGGCGCGGCGTCGGGCTGCGAGGGTTTGATGATGCCGGTGGAGAGGAGTTTGGACAGCAGGTCGTTCACGTCCACCTGACCGAAGTGGTTCTCCGGAGGGACAACCTGCGGATCTACGCAAATACCAACAACCAGTCACGATTTCTGACCTTAAACTCGAGAGCGTTAAAGCTGACCGACACAAACGCCACGCAAACTTACTCTGCTGTCCGAAAGGCACGGCGGTCTGAGGTAGGAAGGGCTGGGCCATGGCTCCCATCACGCTCACCTGAAAACAGCACAGGTACAAACACTCAGATCATTCCCCAGGAACTCGCCCTGCTCAACAACGTGGCCTCTGCACCAATCAGAGCCACCAGCTCAGAGGATCAACTGCACATCTTCCTGCCATTTCTGCACCTCACTCCTACCTGACACGTTCACTTGTTTGCTCAGCAGCGTCTGCTGCCACCTTCTGGCAGTAGTGGGGCTAATTTAATGATAAATGTCCTGAACCGGCGCAACAGCACGCTCTGTAGCATTAACTCCGCCCTCTGCACAGCCTGATACCTTTAAATGTAGTTTTTTTTTTTTTTTTTTTAAATTCTCTTTAAAAAAAGAAAAACAATTAAAAAGGAAAATTAATCATCACAGAGGTCAAAGGTCCAGAAACTTGTGACCATGCAGAACAGTAACACTTGCAGTCCATCTGTGCTGCATGCTGCATGCCTGCTGGGCCTACCCGATTGGCTGTTTTATATGGAAGAACTCCATTCGCTCCAACTGACCTGGAGTAGTTGCAGAAGTTAGCAACATAGGCTGGCTGTGCCTCAGCGATAGATGTAGGTTTTAAAGTTTCATTGTTTCTAAATAAAACTCAGGTGCATGTATCGCATGAGGAGACTCAGGCACTGCGATTATACAGGATTAGCATGCTAGCATGCTGTTAGCAGGCCAATAACGGCTCTTTTAGCTGCGTCTCCATGTATCACATCAACTCTGACTTAACTGATGCCTAAGTGTTTGGTTGCCCCAAACTACAGTCACAGCTGCTCAGCTGTGGGTGGAGCTCCAGTTGCTCTGAATTTGACACTGGACTGAACTGAGGCAGCTCTGATTGAAACCTGTCTGAAACTACCTCTGTTCTTATTGGTCTAGATCCTGTGATGTCCTGTGCGTTGCTTACCGGCTGCTGTAAGCCAACAGCGGGTGCCCCGGGGTTGTAGAAGGGGGCGGGTCCTGGCTGACTGAACGGCTGCACATGGAAGTTTCCGGCTTGCTGCATGTTCTGTTGCGCCGGGAACGCCGCTGGTGCTGCAGGGAACTGAGGATTGATGGGGTCCGGGAAACGCTGGGGGGGCATGGTGAAGTTCTGCTGGGGGGCCATGGGGGTTTCGTACATGGGCGGGCCCATCTGTCTCATGAGGGGCTGCAGGTTGTGTTGGGGTTCGAAGCGCAGGTGGCCCTGCCCGGGGAAGTGCTCGAAGTGCGGGGGGCCTCCCTGATGTGGCACGTCATACCGGGGGCCCGGTTGGCCCGGCCCCTCGAAGTGTCCAGGGCCATCAAACCTCGTGGGGCCCTCGAAGCGTGCTGGCCGCTGCTGGAAGCCCATGGGGGCGGATCCAGGGCCGGGACCCATGTTGTTTAAGTGACGTGGTGCTTCGAAGCGCTGCAGCGGGCCCTCTGAGTGGCCGGGTGCCGGCACCTCAAATCGTGTCTGTAGTGCGACAGGAGCCCCGAACCTGCCGGGCCCCTGAGGGGGGCCCTCAAACCGCCCTATTCGTTCTCCGCCTCTCATCGGGCCATGACTGATGTGTCCGGGACCGTCCACCCTCTCCGCCATTGTGTGATGAGTTGGTCCGGCACCCTCGAACCTGCTGGGGGCTGGGTGGTGAGGCCCCTCACACTGCAGTGAGTCATCGAACCGCCCAGGGCCACCGCCGCCTTCATACCATCCTGGGGCGTGAGGCCTAGAAGAGCCCATATGACCGGGGCCATTGTAGCGTGCAGGGGGGTGTCCCCCGTCGTGAGGTGGTGTGTGTCCGGGTGACCCGCCGTGCTGTCGGACCGAAGATTGCGGCCCTCCACGGGGGAGTGGCGCCTTCAGGATGGATTTGGTTGAAGCATGAGGCGGCGGGGCATCAAGGGGCCCGTCGTCCGAGTGCTCGCTGTTTGGGCTCTCAAAGCGCGCTATCGGGCTCATGTCAGCAGAGTCTTTCTGTAACGGTGATAGCCGTTCGCGCTCGAAGCGTGTCGCCGTGGCGTCCAGGCCAGCTGGGCTCGGGGAGTTCCTGTGGACCACTGTGCCCGAAGGAGGGGGCACCTCCGGCCTGCGGGCGTCAGCAGGTGGGCCGTACCGCCGTGGGACATTGTAGCTGCTCTTTTGCTCCTCGCGGTCGTTATAATGCTGCCGCTCTGTCAGCGGCGAGGTCCACTCTCTCTCATCTGGAAACCACAGAAGAAGAAATGC